ATTATCACTGAAACGTGTTGCAAGAGAGGTCTTTCTTTATTAAGACTAATAATGACTAGAAAGGATTGAAAGGCAAAAAGATGTATATGTTGCAGTTCAGACAGATTTACTTTTGGGGATCAAAGTTGGCGGCCATTTTGGTTGTTTACAAACGGACCGTGAGCCCACGCACAGCCTCGCGAAATGTTATGTCAGGTTTATTGTTCACTTTTTATGGGAAACGTCCGGTGCGTATTCCCCAAGTGAACGCAAGGCTTCTTGCCTCCGAATCAAGACCTAGACCACGACTGTTTCTCGGCTCCAAGGAAGTTTTCCAGAGAGAGGTATCGACCCTGACCTCGATACATACCTTGAGTCGCGTGTGGTCCAAGGAATGGCTAAATTTCTTCTCATCTCTACCCACCTTCTGGACTGGCTAGGGAAACTTTAAAGAATCTTTAACATTTGTTTCATGTATATATATATATATATATATATATATATATATATATATATATATATATATATATATACATATATATACATATACTTACATATATATACATATGCTTACATATATATACATATGCTTACATATATATACATATATATACATATACTTACATATATATACATATACTTACATATATATACATATACTTACATATATATACATATACTTACATATATATACATATACTTACATATATATACATATACTTACATATATATATACATATACTTACATATATATACATATACATATATATATATATATATATATATATATATATATATATATATACATATATGCATATACATATATAGATATATACAAATATGCATATACATATATAGATATATACATTAAGTCTATCAATATACCCTATGTTTTAAATAATTACTGCAACAAGTCTTCGTAAACAATCGTAACAAAAACATCGCGTACATATAATTGACAATAATTCCCTCCATATTATTTAGCGTTTCCTTGTTTATAACGCAGAAACAATCTACAGATAACCCTGAAGTCTATCGTGTAAGGTTACGCGTCCCTTACAATGAGAGGTCACTGTATGCAGTTAACGCATTTCAAGGTCAGGTCGCACACCTCTTTAAAACCAAAACAGGCCTTCCTTTCATCATCATTTATCTCACTGCATCAGTCTGTGAATTAGTTTTCTGTTCTGAGTTTCGGCGCAATGGTATTTTGCAACTGTAAAAAGGTATGTACTCATTCCTTCTTACAGAGCAAAATACATTTTTTTCCCTCAAAATGTACTATACGTAAATATCCTTTTTAATATTTTCGTCTAACTTATTTCGACTTCTCCTTTCAGCAATGCCAGCAGCAGGAGAAGAGTCCTCGAGTGTTCATAACTTACCGTCATGAACAGCTGCCTGACGCCTCCGTGCTCTCCTTCTTCCAGACTCCGCGTCGCCTTCCTGCTTCTGCGTCGCCCTACAGGAGCACCACTTTGCCAGCGTCCACGGCGAAACCGCACATTCCGCTACGACTGCCTTTCACCGCCGTTGTGTCTCCCCCGAACTCGTTGTCAGGGACGTTCTCCAGAGCGAGCCAGTCGACCTTGGCTCCGGTGCATACCTTCAGCCGCGTTTGGTCCAAGGAATCGCTTAGGATTCTTGGCTCTCCGTCCACCTTCGGGAAGATCGCTCGTGGAGGAGAATTAACGTCTACTCCTACAGGCGTGTATCCCTTGAATGACGAAGCCCTGACTCCTCTTAGGCGTAGTGAAGTGGAGGAGGAGGCAGAAGTAGAGGCTAGCTTTTCTGAGCCCTTAAAGAAAAGACTCAGATTTTAAAATCACATTGTAGCTTGTATTTATAATTAAAATTGCCGTTCGTTGAACCTAATGTCTAATTTTCTTTATTGGTTACTTATGAATGTCAAAATGTAGGAGTACATTATGGGTACACACACAATTATGGACAGATTAAGAAAAACAGATTTATAAAATATAGATATTTTATATACTTATATACTACTATTATATATACTTTTATACTAAGTAAATATATTTATATATTTAGATAAGTGAATATATTTATATATTTAGATAAGTGAATATATTTATATATTTAGATAAGTGAATATATTTATATATTTAGATAAGTGAATATATTTATATATTTAGATAAGTGAATATATTTATATATTTAGATAAGTGAATATATTTATATATTCAGATAAGTGAATATATTCATATACTTAGATAAGAAAATATATTTATATACTTATCTCAGTTTATATACATAAATAGGTAAATAGGTTAGAGATAGAAAGATCGATAGACAGAGAGCTACATAGATAGATCGATAGACAGACAGATAGATCGATAGACAGAGAGATAGAAACAAATAACCGAACAAGAAAACTACATATTCCTACATATCTACATTTTCAATAATATGTAATATATATGAAATAATGTTTGAGTCGGACGGTACGAACTAAATTCTATCTATAAAAAATGTGACCTGACCTTGAAGTGATTAATTGGCGGTGACCTTCCAGAAGAGACGCAGGTGTGTGTAAGACAGTCGTATAGGTCAGTCATCTGTTTCTATGTATTATATATAGGCAAGAACTATTCAGAAAGTAATTCGGTAATGTTCTAAAGCGTATAATTCCCTTTAGAGCAGTGTTCCAAACTATTTTAGAAAAATGTATAAAACTCTCTAAATGTGTGTGTAAATGATGGATTCATTTAGATTGCATAAGAATTGTAATGCATATCACATATAATAAGAGTATTTGCGTCATTGAATTAAGTCATATGATGCAAGTACTAAATTCTAAAACTGACACAACCCCACCAAGAGTTATATAATAAAAGCTTTGTGTTATAATTGTTAATTCTAGGCAACTATTATGACCATTATGTAATGATATATGTGTACTCATCTGTTCATGTCAGTACTGTGTATAATATTTCAAGCTATCGAAACGCAGCTATGGATACAATATCTATCCTGATTATAATAATATCATACATATTAACAAATGCCACCTATCTTTACATTAATCTACTTATTAAGCATACAAAATCGGTGCGTTTTATGGTAATGAGGAGACGAGTTCAGTACGTCTGACATCACTCTCTTCCCCGCATATTGTGCACATGTGTTGATTTACGTAACCCCCTCCCCCCCTCTTTCTCTCTCTCTTTCTTTCTTTTTTCTTCCTTCCTTCCTCCCTTACTCCCTCCCGCTTTCGCTCTCCCTCTCTTTTTCTTCCTCTTCCTCTCCTTTTCCATATCATTGTATCTCCCCCTTCATGCTCTCTTTCCCAGTCTCCCTCTTCCTCATTTTTCTCTGTCGCATCCATTCCCTTTTCCTCTTTCTCTCCGTCTCCCTTTCTGTTTCTGTCTGTCTGCCTGTTTGTCTGTCTGTGTCTCTCTCACACAGACATATATTATATATATATATATATATATATATATATATATATATATATATATATATATATATATAAATATATATATATATATATATATATATATATATATATATATATATATATATATATATTTATATATGCATATATTTATGAATATGTATACATATATATACATATATGAATATATATACATACATATATATATGAATATATATATATATATATATATATATATATATATATATATATATATATATATATATATACACATTATCATTACCATTACCATTATCATAATTCTCGAGCCGTCTTAGGGCAGGACGGGCACAGTACCAAACGAGCTTTAACGAGATAATGGTGCGCACGGAGAGACTAATCAGTTTACCCACTTTACTTATAAAATTATATTTACTATATAAAAAAAAAGTTTATATAAAAGTTCTAGGGAAACCCTCGGATGAATATAACGACATTAAGATGTTATATTAATATTGTACCCCGGGATTTTCACACCAACAGTTTCCCATATCTATATTACTACCATCAATTAATCATTTCCCTATGGGCGAGAATGACGCGCAACAATACAAATGGACAGTAATACAAAGTCAAAGTTGCCTGTATATACTAAAGGAAGGGAGCATTATAATTATCGTTACTGGTAGTATGTTCATTATCGACATTATTATAATTATCGTTTTCAAGATGACTAATTTCATCACCTTAAGTATAGTATTCCGATTGGTAATTTAAAAAAATCTAATCGGCTTACACCTACTACTCTTGTTTACAAAATCCTGGGATATGCTGAATTTTCATTTATTATTTTTTTTACTTTCTTACTTTTCACTTTCATTGATTGTTTAAAGAATTATCGGGTGAGTTGCCAATTTTCCCCTTCTTGAAGTATATTTTCATTAGCATCGTGGTAAAGCAGTCATTCTTATTGAAATTATTGCATCATTACTGTAATTTGTTTTATCATTATTTGTTGTTATCTATCACTGTCACTGATGTTACAGTTATCGGTTATCAACACTGAAAGATTTACAGTTACTTCCTAATTAGCATCGTTATCATTTTAGAAACTATCACTATCGCTATTGTTATCAATGTCACTCTTAATGTTGTTCTCTTGTTCTACTTACCATTACTATCATTATTTTATATTTTTTTCAGGCAAACATACAATAAATGCATACACACATACATACATTCATACACAGATACAAGCATTTAGGCGAGTTATACCACATGAATCAAAGAAAATATCTCCTGTGCAGGATATACTTCATGCTATACGACATGACGTGCAGTAACCCGATCCAGGGTCACAAAAACTTTTCTGGGCCTCTTAGGGGTCTGGGGTAGAAGTTGCGTTGTCATGTTGACCTCTAATTAAGTAGATGCCATTTTGGTAATTTCAGATATACTTTTGAGTAAAACCTTTGTACCTATACTGTATGATTATTATAATGTCAAATGTGGTATATGTCGTGTATTATAATTACAGTATGTTCGTAGTTTTTTCTACTGTATATAGAGATGATAAAATGTTGATATGTATGTTTACATGTTTTACACATTATCTCCATGGTAACAGATGTTGACACTAAGATGTCCTTTGTCAACAGTTCTCGTTGGCAGTTAACATCATTTCAAAAATTATCCCTTCGCCAGTAGCGGGTGAGATCTCGGCCTGCAAGGTAGGGACACGGTACTCTTCTCCTGTTCTCTATTAATATTTATCGATAACGAACCTTAAAGCTACACACAATAATTTTACGATATGCTTTGTTAAGAGTACATAAACATCACCCAAGACATGTGAACAGATCAGTTTTTTTTCTGTACTTAAACAGAATGAGGCGTTCTTGGTTGGGGATAGTCGTGGTGTTTTTGGTGGCTACATCCACGTCGGCGGAGGAGGAGGAGGAGGAGGCACCGACGCCGCCGCCCACGGTCGAGGTGCAGCTCCAGCAAGGTGTGATCAAAGGGCTGAGAAATGAGGCCGGGGAAGGCCGATTCTTCTACAGCTTCAAGACTATTCCTTTCGCTCAGCCTCCCGTCGGAGATCTTAGGTTCGAGGCGAGTATCTCTTTCTTCTTTGTTTTTCAAATGCGGGTGGGGAGGTGCGGTCCCTTAAAGCCATAGTTGAACTTGTAGAGGAGTTTAAACACAGTTAACTTTATCCCACATGCAACCTTCTCTGCCAGGACCCTTTGCCCGCTGAAGGATGGACAGGAGTAAGAGACGGCTCCGCAGTGACTCCCAAATGTCCTCAGCTGTCGATATCCACGTACGTCAGCGGCGACGGGATAATTGTGGAAGGCCAAGAAGACTGTCTGTACCTCAGTGTGTACACACCTCAGGTACGTGCCATAGGGTGTAGCCTCAGTGTGATTTCTGTTGGTTAAGAATAATTCAGTGTATTTAGTTAATGGTGTATCTTGACGCTCCATCAAGGCAAATGAATGTTAAAGATGCCAGATTATTGAAATAGTAAATGATAATAAAACAATGATTAGCAAAATGCATTAAATAAACAATACAAACAAGTGAAATCAAACAAATGCTTGAAAAATGAAAGAATGGATAAATTTAGCAAATGGATTCAACACCCATAAACAGCGAACTATATCATACACACAATATGGACAACATCAGTAAGAAAATAACAGAGTCGAGATAACACCACCACCTACGATTGTCTTTCAGCCCCAAGCAAAGGACCTGCCTGTAATGGTGTGGATTCATGGAGGAGCTTTTATCCTGGGTTGTGCTGAGCAATACTCGCCTCTCCCTCTCCTCACCAGGGACATAGTTCTCGTCGTCATTCAGTATCGCCTGGCCACATTGGGTTTGTATTTATGATGAGAAAGAGGTTTGCGTTAATGGATCATGAAAAGGAAAGTGGAAGCCGAATCCGGGAGAGGGCGTGGGTGTTATGGTTTACTTTA